CATTGGATTGCCAAAAGACATATATAGCAACTTTTTAAAGCAAATAATAGAAAACCCATCTTTCTTTTTGGTCATTTGGACCCCTTTTAAGATAACCATATGGCAGTGGTTTGCCACTAGCTTAAATAGAGGACAAAGGTTCATGGGCCCTTTCTTTACTTTCTTAGGGTTTTAGCCACAATATGCCTTCCACTTACACCGGTTAGTTTTGAGATTATAAGATGACCATCGTGATTTGTAAAAATATTTGAATTAACCACAAGGGTGGTGTGTGATTGGTTTGAGTTTGACTCCAAAGGTCAAAAGTATCAGGAAGTCTCAAGTTCAAATCTAAGGAGAAATAAAAATTCCCTTGTGGCCATGGAGGTTCAAATGCGGTGACTTCGGGCTATCTGCAAAGCAGGTGGTCATCCTGGGATTAGTCGGCTCGCATAGCGGGTTGGATATCCAGGTTAATCAGAAAAAAAACATTTGAATTTGGTTTCTTTTTGTAACGGCCATTATATGAGGAGCATTTTTGTTCTTTTATCGATTTTTTTGTTCTTTACCAATCAAAAAACACAGGGACCAAAATTATAAAATCGATTTTGATTAGATAAAGGCAAAAAAAATCGATAGAATGATAAAAATGACAAAAATATCCCTCTTCTAATGGATTTCTTTAATGTGCGTTAGAGGGAGGGACCAAATTCACATGTTTTTACAAACCACGATAGCCATCTTGTAGTTTTGAAATTGCAAAAACAAAAAGTGTTAGTTTGATAAACCACTTGAACCAAATTTGTAGTTTACTCTAATATTTATGTCATTATCTTGCAACAAAATAAAACGGGTAACCAAACCAAACCTAATATACTTAATACAGCTTACTTTGGTGTAAGTATGATGTATGATATGTACAGACCTTAATTCTATTTAAATAAGTACTGGTTTTGTTTTCGTAAAAACTGCTTACTTTGAGAAAAGGGTTTTTCAAGAAAAATGACGGATAAACAGATATCGATATCTTAGCTGTTAAATATCGAATAAACAAATAATGAGTAAAATTGATAAATTTGTTGGTTTCAAACCCCTTGGCCCTCCACACCGATCCACTACCAGCAACCACCATCGCTCTCGACCTTCCCCCACATGTGTCATCGTCTTAGCGACCCCTTGCCCCCATCACCATCCTCATGTGACTTGCTCGCAAAGAGCCAAAGACAATCACATAAACATACACCTAAATGGCTGAATCCTCATCGTCAACAGGGCTTATTGTATGTTTTACCGTCAAAGTTTACGTGTTTATGTTGTTAACTACAAAATAAATATAATACCTGAGTCGTTTTCGTCTTCGTTTGGCTATTTTGATGTATCGATACCAATTTGAAAGTTGAACGACATCGTTTTTATTATTAAATAATGTTTTTAAAATATTTTCATAAATTTGAAAAGGGATTTTAAGTGTTAAAAAAGCAGGGTATGATCCACCACAGCCAGCCAAGTGTGTCTACTTTTAAGGTGAGGTTTGAAAATGGTGGTCATGTTATTGCAATGCTGGATGTTGTGTTCTTTAAGGAATATAAAAGCTGATTTTCTTTATTAAAAGTTCTGCTACAACTTCCATACCAAATAAATAAATTATTTAATTAATATATTTGTACCTAGGAGGAAATATTTAAAATAAATGAAACCCTAATAATTATTCATTTATAAATTATGTATATATGCATATAAGTAATTTAAGTCGTTTTTTTTTTTTTTTTTTATATATGTATGCATATTATGTAGATGCACATGCTGGACAAAGTGTTTATAAATTACTTGTATGTACATTTACATATCATACAGATAAATGGTTATTAATTTTATCTTTTTTCGTTTTTTGTGGTGTTAGATATATATTTATATATATATATAGAGAGAAGAGCGATCAAATGAAAACCACTCTCATTTGTAAAAACCGTACAAACCACCCTCATACGTCGATTTCATTGTTTAATCTTATGAAATTTTTTCATGAAATTGTTTCATATAATACTTTTTTTGATAAATTTGTTTCATATATGGTTATGAAATTGTTTCATATAATATTTAATGAAACTGTTTCATTTATTTCTCTAAAATTAAAATAATGAAGATGATAATATCTATGATTAACACCCTCCACAATAAAAATTGTTGATCAACCTCTCGTAATTACAAAAAAATGAACAAAATGAAAAATTATGATTGGTTGAATAAGGTTTTTACGGTTTTTACAAATTGAATGGTTTTTATTTGAACGCTCATATATATATATATATATATATATATATATTATTTCCATCACGCAAACATCCCTCCTGGAAAAACCATGACACCTCCCTCACCCCCATCTTTTGTCTTGCCGACAAACTAGAAATAGTTGAAGGTACAAGAACATTTAGATCTCGATGATGTTTTACGTCGGAGAGACAAAAACTCCGACGGCCACCCACCCCTTGGTTCCATGGTATTCGTCGGAATAAGGTTTGTTAAAGAGAGGAGAGATGAGGTATAAGATTTCTAAAATACCTAAAATGCCCTTCAATTAAAATTTTAAGTCAATATTACCAAAATTATTAATTTTCTTGATTATTTATCCTTTTGATTTGTGATTGAGATTGGATCTCACGGTTATTATAAATTACCAAGTTCTTCTTTGAATTGCCACCGTATATATAAGTGTGTCTTTTAACAAAATTTTAGATTTTAGTTTTTTATATGAAAATTTTGCATTAATTTTCACTTTGTTTACACAAAAATCTCGTATTCCTTTGTGTCGTATAAATATACAACAAATTACTACAAAATAACATGAAATGACAGGACCTCCTCTAACTTAAATTTCTAACTCCGTCCCTGATGAAAAACGAAACTAATGCATAAAATTTGGTTAGAATTTTGATTTAATTACTAACTTCCAAAGGTGGATGCAATCATGCAAAACTAAGTCAAGAAGAACAAAAAATACTGTTAAAAAACCTGTTGGAAAATCTGAGATATTGTAAACTTGTTTGAATTTTATAAAGATGGAATTCTTAATTTTATGATCATATGTTAAACTATGAGCAAGAAAACAATCATCAATTGTTTTTTCAATAAAATGAAGACGTTAATTCGTGGCCTAAGCACAAAAACTTCAATCTTAAGCTATCCAAGTAACCAATGCAATTAAGCCAACACTTATTAAACTTGGGCCATATCAACTTTATAAACTGAATTAAAGTGTCTTTTTAGCCCAAGTAGTTCCACTACAAAAATGCAGAGCATCAACGAGGGAAATTTCCCTCGCAAATCCGTCGCAAATCAGCGAGGGAATATGTTTTTGGACATTCCCTCGCTGATCTGCGGGGATTTTTTCCCTCGCTGATTTTCATCGATAATACCTTGTTTTCTAGTAGTGTTCTTAAGGTAATACGCAAAGTTGTTCTTAACTAAATTTTTGGTCATCTCTATCTTAAATTCCTAGCTTCGTCCCTGGTCACACACCCAATCATTTGTATTGTTCTTCCATACAACAACACTTTTGGAGTTCAATTTTGCATTTTGATTTGGGTTGGAGTTTGATTAGGGTTTGAAATTCAATTTTGTAGTTGCTCTTTAGGTTTGCTTTCACGATTTCATAGGTTCAATTTGTGTCTACAATTTGACTATGGGTTTGCTTTCACTATTTTTAGCAATTTGATTTTTGTATGAACATTTTTTTAAAGGTCATTGGTGCTTAGATCCGCCTTTTCATTCATCTGGTAGTTCGATTTTTGGATGAACGTTTGGCACTTCAATTTTTGATTAAAGATTTGGTAGTTCTATATGGGTTTGTTCGAATTTGAAGTTCAAATTTTACAGTATCTGGGTTGTAATTTGATTTTGGATTAACCTTTTTTATTTCTTTCCAAGCATCAATAATATAACACAATACGAAGCAATGCAATAAGTATACTCATCCCGATTTTTGAATATATTCATTTTTCTTTTCATTCTCATTTTTTAAAACGAATCAAACGCTTAAAAAACATTAAAAGCATACAAACGTTTAAATTTTATAATAACATATATTGTGGGTTGACATTTGGAATGCTCAAAAACCCGACCAACCCGGCCAACCCAATGCAAAATAACTTATCCCGAAATAACCCGAATTATAATCGAGCTGTAAAATATTCAAACTGTAGGTATTGGATTGGAACCAGGTTACGATCATTTAAACCCAACCCAACGCGATGAACCCAATATCCTTTAATTTATTAGATTTAATATGATTGTTAAGTCTCTTTAATATGTGCACTAGACAATTATAACATCACGTACTCTCTTCATATACATATATTTTCAATCTCTTCTCCGTCTCTGTATAACTCCTCCGGATATATGTTAAGTAAACGTGAATATATACATGCAAATTGAGAAAAAGAGTTGAGTGTAATATACTTATATCGATAAGTTATACCAAATAATTGATGATGAAAAAAGATTATGAGTAGAAAAAATAACATATTCAAAGTAATAAGAATATTTTGATAGACCAAAGTATCAACCCGACTAACCTGATCAACTCGTATGGTTTGGGTTGGTTGAGTTGAGATTTTTCAAATTGCAAATATTAAGTTGAGTTGTTAAAAATGTCTTCAACCCGATCAACCTAAACACATGAGCACTCCTAAGTCCTAATTGACAACTTTGACATCATCATGGCTTTATTATTAAACCCATTTATAGCCCAGCCTGTTTCACAGCTTGTTAGGTTTCGAGGCCCATTTACATCTTCGGTCCCTTTGGCAAGTATTATTTAGATCTCAAAAAGATAAATAATTTTTAAAAAAAATCGTTTTTATTTAAAAAAAATCTAAAAAAACCCAATAAACTTTAATATCTGAAATAATTAAGTCTTTAAACAATTTTTTAAAACAAATAAGTCTTTGTATATTTTCAAACGTGTAAACTTTCTAATACCTATTAAATAGGTTCATGGAACAAATAATTCCTTATACCGGGGCTGGGGGTGGTCTTCAGTTTCCCTTTAGAAAAATGGAACTATTTTGGGCTTCCGTGTGACAACCAAATCAAAGCGACGAGAAGTCGAGAACAATGGGGAAGAGGAATTTGTCTCTCTCAACGATCGTCAACCTCGTCTGCGTTTTAGGGCTTACCAACGCCTATGAATCACCAGAGTACACAGTGATTCACTCTGAATCAGAATTTGAGATCAGATTGTATACGGAATCAGTTTGGATGACAGCTCCAGTCAAAGAAATTTCGTTTCGAAAAGCTACCAACGATGGCTTCCATAGGTTTCCTCTTCATAACATTCTTATGCTATTACTGATTACTAGTTTAATCTGCTCCCTGTTTTTTGAGTTCTGGATGTGTGTTGGATTCTAATTTTGAATGATTAAATTTTACTAAGGATTTCTAATATTATAACCTATAATTTCTTTCCATGCTTTGAATTTGGTTATAAGATATCCAAATCGATACTCCTCCGATCCGTTCCAAACTAAGAGATAGGTTTCATATGAAACTGGCTTGTTTTTTGCTCCAACCTGATACAAGTCTTTAAATATCAAAGAAGAACTTGATTTTTTTGTACTAACAAATAACCTCTAAGATTAAGATCACTTTCTTTTAAGCGGAGAACGTATTTAATTGTGATTTGCTGGTATTAATCCTCTGGAACTGCATAAGTTCACAGGAGCAATATGTTCCATGTTCTTATATTTGTGTTGTTCTATTTGTATGTATCAAAGGAGGATTGTAAGTACATAGGATTATAACTTCTACATCTGCTAATGAATTTCCCCTAAAAAACCTGAAAGTGGGGTGGAGGGATAAAACTCGATGATTGAAGGATTCAATGGAGTTTCTGAAAATCAATGTGATGATACTATGCATTGACAGATACMTCTGTCTGGTTAAGCAACTAAATATGATTGATAAGATACAGTGTTGAGATTATAGAAAAGATGACGATTGAATTGTTGAATAGCACTCAGATTTTTTGATCTTTTCTTTCTAACATTGAAGATGATGATTCAATATACAGCACTTCAATATAAACCTTGAGTTGTGGTTATCTGATTTACGTGATTTTCAGTTGTGCAATCACATAACTTCTAAATCGTACTATTGAAATCAAAGATGGGATTGCGCCACTGAAAAGTTGCAGAAGAGAAAACCTTTAACAAAAGTAGTCAATTTAATATCTAATCAGCCTGACAGTAGCATAGAAAAACATCTATCAGCCTCCCCTTATCTCTCAATGTTGTGGTGGGCAAGGTCCCTGATGGTCTGGTGTGTGTGAGTGTACTTGTGTGCAACCTCTACTTCTCTTACTGGTTTGGGATGGCTGGCTAGCTGGCTAACCAATTCTACCATATAGTATTTCATTCTTTTTCGCACGCCGGAATGCTTTACTCTTATGGGTAGAGGTCTAGTATGTGTGCATCTGACCCTTCCATACCGCACCTACGGGTGGGATGTACGGAGCTAGTTGGTTTGTTACTGTTTAGTATTTCATTCTTTGCAAGAAATTCATGCTATTGTGCATCTTGTCTTGCAGGTTATTCCAGTATATACAAGGTGCAAATTTGAATAATTCTCGTGTATCAATGACCGTGCCCGTCTTAACAAGCCTTGTCCCTGGAGCAGGACCTCTTGGCTCATCCGCATATGTCGTGCATTTCTACTTGCCCACCAAGTTCCAAGCCACACCCCCACTTCCTCTTCCTGAACTGAATCTTTTGCCCGATTCATGGACCAGCTGTTGCAAAGCAGTTCGCCAATTCTCTGGTTTTGCCAGAGATAAGAACACAGTCAAAGAAGCTGAGAATCTAGCTACCAGCTTGAGCAGGTCTCCATGGGCCAACTCCACTTCTTCCTCGAGTAAATTTGCGTATTCAATCGCGCAATACAACTCTCCATTTAAGTTCATTGGGCGAGTAAATGAAGTTTGGGTGGACATTGATGGCTGTGAACCCACCATGTTGGCTACGTACTGAAGTTCTAAACAGTAGGCTCGAGTTTGCCATGCTTTTTGATGGGCCGACTCGTGTTGCCTTAAACCGCTAGCTAACCATGGTCGGTACCACAGGGCCTGTAACGTGTCTGTTCCGTTTGTAACTACAGTAGAATAAGGTCATCTATTAGTGGTTGTAAAGTGAATAAGGTCATCTATGCAACATGAGCCCTATAACCTTCCAAGAGTAAGATTGGCAATTGTCTGATTGGTTCTTTTACCTTCAAATTTACTTTGTATAAAACTTAGATAACCACATTTCATAACATTGTTTCAATTATGCATTTTTTTTCCTGGATATACCTTCAAATACAATTAATAACTTTAATTAATATGGATTAGTTTATGTAAAAATACTTATGTTTTTTAACCACAAGGGTTGTGGCGTAGTGGTTGTGGTCCTCGGGATATGGTGAACTATCTCATCTGCGCAGGATTTGATTCCACATGTACACAACAATTGTGTTGGCTGATTTCTTACAATTACAATTTGTCGAGATTAATCTGGGACACCGTTCCAGAAAAATACTTATGTTTTGACGTGTTCGTTTTTAGAATGACGTCATGCCCTTTTTTACATAACCGTCTTACGCCAGGGCACTAGGCAGGGCGACGTTTGGGACCGACGTACGATGGCAAAGATGCAGCCTTCCTCCCTGGCATGGGCAGCTTAATCTGGCTGCGATAAACAATGAATAAGAGGAATGCAAGAAGCACAAATAGAAAATAGGGTGACAATATCACCCTCCTAAATCTTAAATCGGGAATGATATTCCGAGCTCTCGAAGCGTCACTCAGCCATACGTCTTTCCCTTCGACCAACACAGCTCCTAAAGTCCAAGAAAGTTCCCCAGGACCAAACACGATATCTCTATCGCCAATACAGAGGGTGTTTTCAACGAGCGAAACCATATAAGGAACTCGGAAACACAGAAAATCAGCATACTTTTGCTTCGTCGGCATGTTCAATGATCTTGAACATAGCTGCTGCCCTTTCTCCCAAATCATCGATAGATTTGCTGATGCCTTCAAGTTTAACAAATTGTAAACGGCAAAGAATCCAGATAATGCATGGAAACGTGCAACTGAGTGACTCCCTCCAACCATTTTCAGTATATTTTCGTCTGAAATAGAAAAAAACCAAGACTGACATACAATAAAAGTAGGAAAAACTAATACTGACATATGATCCACGTAAATAAGGATAACAAATAGAACTGACCACTCATTGAAGAAAGTCGTGTGCAGTTAGAATCATCTGGAAGTTTAGACCAGTCTGATGAACTGCTTGAATTAATGGCAACAGCTCTTGCTAGCCTTTTGCATTTCTCCCAATTCGGCTCCCCGACCAAGTGTAAGGAAAATTTGTCGCTCTCTCTCATTTGGGTAGGTGAATTTCCATCAATAAAGCAGTCACGGCAAGTATAGTTCTGCGTAAATCCGTGTCCTAAACAAGGATGGCTGATCTCGGAAGTTTCTAAACCACGTTCTCTGAGCAGCATAAGCACAGTTCTATCAAAAGCTTTGTTCAATCCAAAAGCCGGTAATGAGGCTGCCAAAATCGGTTGCTCAAAAGAACCAATCTTTGATCTGAAAACACCATCATGATGATCATCCATTGTTGGATCTTCGATTTCTGTTGCTACCTGCAGCGATGAACCTCCAAGATCAAGAAGGCCTAATGTGGCCAATCTTGATGAATTCCTAAATACATCCATGTGATAATTGAGAGCAATCCAACCATAATAAGCTTCTTCTCTCCCACTCAAAACCCTAATCCAATCTTTCCTGTATCTAAACTGGTGTAACTTAACAACCACCTCGATATCATCCAAAACCCCCATAGCAACTTCCTGGTTCAATCTTCTTAATCCGGCTGTAGCTAAGACGAAGATCGGAGTATCTTTATATCGTTCTTGAGGTACCCACTTTTCAGCCCTTTGAATCAATGGCTCCAAAGATTCCTTCACCCCAGAAGCATTCCCAACAAATGAATCCAAACCAGGCTCAGTTTGCATACAATGGTATGCACAACCATCTTTCTGATCTTCAATCTTTGTTGAATTATCAGGAAAAGAATGTAACAAAATGGGCAATTCCCAATTCGAATTAGTTATGATTCCATCATTTGACATCATCCATTCATATACGTTTACTCTTGTTCCACTACTTCCACAGTCCAACACAACAGTAAAATATGAACTGTTTCTATTAAACCCAGGGTTACGAACAAGGTAAAAACCAATTAAGATCAATAGTACAATTATCACAATGGCGATGGCCAATTTGAATGCTCTAAAATGACGAATAAATCCCAATGTCGGAAGCTTTGTTTTCGAAGGGGATTTCGGATCCATCGAAAAACTACCAACATGAAGTGATTCACAGTAAATCCGGGATTGTTATGGGATCCGGTGATGCTATAATCTCGATCTTCAATGATGAATAGACTTTAGGACAATGGATTGCAGTTTTAAATCGATCTATGTTAAATCACATACCCAAATCTATCGGCTTATGCTGTTAAACTTCCGAAGTGAATGGTAGAGAGAATAACCTTTAGCAACGGCAACCGCTCCGGTTGTACGGATCCATGTTCTGATGGTACCAGACGACCTGCTGCGAGGCTGATACGAAGATCAGCGATCAAACTACGCCGTCGTTTACAATCCTGACGTTGGTTTATCAAACAGTGTTCTTAGGAGGAGTTGATCATCTCGCAAAATTACAATACTAACCTCTTTAACGCCGCTTACCTGTAGGGGGTCTCTTACCCAATGCAAGGGGTGAGGCTCTTTACCAAAATGAAAAAAATCTATGATTGCTTACCCGGGTAAGTGTTTACAAAATCACATTACATTATCTGATGGATATGATAAGGATCAAGAATCTTATCCGGTAAGAGCAAGATAAGGACTAAGAGTTTTACCCGGTAAGTGAGGGCAACGTTTACCGGGTAACGACTCTTACCACGGTAAGTGCTTACCAGGTAAATTGTTGTATATGATGGCGTTTTGGTGGACTAAAATTTTACCCGGTAAATGAATGATAGTGTTAATTTTTACTGGTAAGCACTTACCAGGTAAGTGTTTAGTAAACGGCCCCTAAAAATGACTCCATTCTTGCTCCGGTTTTCTTCCTGTAAAGCAGAAGAAAGATGGTTAGTACCTATACAGATTTGAGATTCTTCAATGGAAGTGAAATCTGATGCTTGATGGTTAATCCTCCTTAGGTAAATCCTATATCTCTGGGGAAAGACGTCAAATGAGCATCATCCAATTGTTTCCTGCCAGTATATTTACATTTAATCTCAAAAACCGGACCTCTGTTTGTTTGTTTTTTCTCAAAGAATCGACCGATCCTATTCAAATATCACGAATTTGGATGTGATCCGATGCACGTACAATTGGATATCAAATTTTGGTTGGTCAAATCAAATTAGACGGGATGACTTTTGATGTGCTTATATCGTAAGTATGCACACAGTGGGCATAAAATCCCCAAAGTGGCGGTGCAAGTGCACGCCGACACTAAGATCGCTTCAAGTAATAAAGTGGTATAGTACCAAGATCGTTTCCACAGGGACTGGACTTACTGAGAATCAGAGACTTTCATGAACTTCTTGAACAATGTT